GAAATCTCGGCCAGCCAAGTGAAAAGTGGCAACTATTTCTCTATATCCAGTAAAATAAGTTATCTCGAATTTTGGAAATTTTTGGTAATTTTTGGCAAAACACTCTATTTCTCTGTTTCCTTCCAATATTTCAACCACTAACTAGTTTTTGAGATGTAATTTTAATAAACATTAAATAGAAGTGTACGTTTTCTGCAAGAAAATACATTGATTTTTTTTAATTAAAATCAAAACTTCTAAAATCGCAAAAATATGTGGTTTTATCGGAAGTTCACAGATGTAACGTGGCAACTTAGCTCGTTTTCATATTTTTCGGTCCGAAATTGTAAAATTTTTGTCCATGCCGCGCTACAATTTTTGTACAGGTTTGTCAATGTGCCTTGAACAAAATTTATATATATACAAAAAAATTATTTTATTTATTTTTTAATATTAAAATTTTCTATAATTCAAAGCGTTTATAAAAATATATTTACATATATGCACGGACGATTTTTAATATTTTTCAACCGTAAGCAAATCTTCAGTACCATAAAAGATTCAAACACATAAAGTACAAGCAATGCAATGTCCTAGCTAGTGGTACTCCACTGTACATGTGTATATGAAAGTATGCATGTATGCGTGTAAAAAATGCCAATTCCAGTTAGTGTTTAACCCATTTTAGCGGACATAGTTTTTTGGTTCCAGCTGTTAATAGCACACTATTTTACAACGCCTTTTATATTTAATCTTCATGAAAGTTACATGTATCGTCGAAAATATGGTTACAATCAGAATTTTAAATTAATTGTTATTATTCTCCATACAAAATGTACAAGTTTTGCTTTATTAAATGCAAAGTTATGCGAAAATCTAAATATTTCGCAAACGTAGGGTTAATGGTTTCGCGCACGTGCCAATCTTGTGCCGATTCGCAGAAATTGAATAATTTGTGTGGATGGAAGCGGCGAGGGGAAGACGAAAGCAGAACAATCGTATATATGTATGTACATATGTACATTTATAAATGCATACATACTTACATTTTCATTTGTTTGGCTTTTTGGATGCATGAAAAATTTGGTAGCAGAAATAGGTAATGAAATGAAGTTTACAAATATGTGCTTTATAAATTTAGGTTTATTAATTAATTATTAGATATGTAAATGACAATGTGGGGGACAAATATGTACATGAGTAGCGAAGCTGCCACCCATCCAATGACAACTTCTTGCACCACTTTATTAGAAAAGATTTGAAAACTGCATTATTTCCATAAATATTGAAAACATTGAAAAATTTCTTAAATATTTTCGGCTTAGATTAGCGAGATTTTTACTAATTGTTGGTAAAATCCGACGTTTTCAGATTATTAGTATTTTTAAAAAAAGTTTCCAAGTCGAAAACAATTAAAAACTGAATTATTTCCATAAATATCGAAAATATGGAAAAAATTCATACGGACTTTCGACTTAGTTTTGTGAGATCTCTACAAAAAAAAGGAAAATAATTCTTTTCACAAGTTTTTTTTTTAGTCCAATACCAATACAGTTTTTTACTTGAAAATAACACAAAAATTGGAAAATGTTATATAATATTTTCGATTTATTTTAACGTTGTGTGTACAAATCACCGAGAAGAAATTATTTTTTACCCTAAAAACTCTATTTACAAAAAAATCTAATACCAATAAAGTTTTATAATTGAAAATCTAACAAAATATTACAAAAATCGAAAAATGCTATATAACATTTTCGATTTATTTTCACGATATTTGTGGAAATCACCGGGGAAAAGGATTTCGTTTATAAAAAATATTTTCACAAAAAAACACAAACACATGGGACTTTTCTATTTGCAATTATTAATAAAATATCACAAAAATCGGGAATGTTATATACTATTTTCGATTTAATTTCATGTTACTTGTACAAATCATTGAACAAAAATTTAATTTCTTTTACTTGGGTATTCTATTTGAAAATTTTCCCAAAATATCACAAAAATCTTCAATATTCATGTTTAATTAACATTCCAAATGCTCTCGTGAGATTTAGCTCTGTTAATATTCTTCTTTTCTGCTTTGTATTTTGCTTTCGCTGTTAAGTATTCCAAATATTTGTCGCTCTTAAAATGCGCTTCGCCAGTTTTGTTGGCTCGAAAAATGTGGCATTCACAGTTCTTGGACCTTCTCTATAAATATACGTTCTCTGAGGTGTTCACAACCGTCGTGTTTTAACACAACTTTTGTTAGGAAAATATAACTTCACAACACCTTGTGAATTGCCCAATTGTTTTTGTTATACCATATATGAAATGATTTACTTATGTTTACCATGCTTGCTAATTATTTATATGTTATTTGTTGTTGGTTTTTAATAATTATGAAGCTAAGGAAATTTAGCGAAAAGTTGGGGAGGAAGTGGACAAAATTTAGTTTTACTTGCACTTGCAAATATTAGATCCACGAAGCCTATAAAAACTAACATGATTTAAGCAACCAAGATCAGCACAATACAGTATGGCAAAATTTTTATTCACCAGCCGGCATATCACGCAAAGACAATACATCAGCATGGAACGAGAAGCAATGTTGTGTTGCTCGAGCACAATCTCCACCTGATATTGCTACTTTGGCATCATCAATTTTTCTTTCCAAATACTGTAGCCTTTGCTCAATTAATCCTGGACCTTGGACGTTGTTGACACCCATACTTGACTTAACAAGTGACTTAATCTTAGACCATATTGTCTCTACTGGGTTCAGCATGGGCGAATATAGTCCCAAACGAAGCACATTCGCCTGCCCATTCGAATGCTCTTGCACGCCAGATTCAATTCTGGAATGACAAGGCGCATTATCACATATAATAACTAAGTCACTCCAGTTGTTTCCAGAACCACGCCACTTCTGTAAAACGTTACCAATCCAGTGATTACATTAATCAGTATTAAAAGAGCCTCTTTTCATTTATGCTGAAGTGAATATTTATATTACTGTTTTGTATTTTGCTTTTTTCCCCCGAAGGACGTCGGGTGCTCTGTTAGTACTGAATAAAATTAAATTGAAAACTTTGTGACACAGTCGCTTCTACTATGCAACCTAAATTCTTTATATCGCACAGGGAATATAAATTTTCTGAACTTAAATTGGAAATTTCTAAATTTGAATTGTAACTTTCTGAATTTGAAATGGAAATTCTGAATATGAATTGTAACTTTCCGAATTTAAACTGCAACTTTCTGAATTTAAAATGGAAATTCTGAATTGGAATTGTAACTTTCTGAATTTGAGGTGGAAATTCTGAATTTGAATTGTAATATTCTGAATTCGAAATGGAATTCTGATTTTGAATTGTAATTTTCTGAATTTGAAATGGAAATTCTGAATTTGAAATGGAAATTCTGAATTTGAAATGGAATTTCTCGAATTGAATAGTAACTATCTGAGTTTTCTATTTTCGATTATCGCTTTTCCATGGTATTGTGAATGTCGATTTCTTCAACTGTTTATTTGTAGAAGGATGAGCGCCTATAATTTATTCACACTGACTTATTGAACGAGACAACGACGTTCGCAATACCAAGGAAAAGCGATAATCGAATAACAGTCGTTTATCTACTACCAGTCGACACTCACAATAGGGGTGATAATTTTGAAGGTAAAATATGAGTTATCTTTACATTAACGACAATGACATGGAACGAATTTTGCAAGGGGAATTAAAAATCATGGAATCTTGTGTTGAGCTATTAAAATCTTTTGAAGAAGCCACACAGGAACTAAGCCGCTTTGATACCCTCATATCATGCGTGATTAAACGATATGTCTAAAAAAAATTCACACAGCTCATCCTAGACCTAGAGTAAGAATAACGATAAAAAAATCAGAATAACAATGTTTGTTTTTTCATACACTATCGTGCGCAATTTTATTG